CAGAGGTTAGGACCATTCAAATATTGTCATTTTAAAAGAGGCCAAATGTTAAATAATCTGCACTGTGAGCGAAAAAACGACTATGTCAAATGCTATTTTAAAAAGACAAGGAAAGCCAGAATTTGAAAGGTGTTCACAACTTTATTCAGGGAAATCCAAAAACCAAAAAATGCAATTGCAAACATTTTGCAAAATTGTGAATTGTTCAGAAAGAATTAACTAAACTAAAAAGAAAATAGAAGAAACAGGAATGTGAAAATGAAACCAGGAAGGCCACTCTTTTGGAAGAAGGGAAGCAATCTGTCATTGACATTTCTGTAAAAAAAAAAGACAGAAGATCCTACAACAGTTGCGACAGAAAAGCAGCATATTCTTGTCTTTTCCGCCAGGTTCCAGAAGAAGAACCAGCATCTATGATTGAGGAGGTAGTCAAAGAAATCACTGGAATGTAGGTGGGGTCAAAGGCAAATGCGACAACTGTTGCTCAATTTGCCTATGAAATTGGAGTTCTAAATGATATTCAAATTGGTGAAGCAGTTGTGAATGAAGAAAACCTCACCCTTGGATGGGATGCAACTTCATTGGCAGCTGAATATATGAATGAAGTCCACATAATGTTTCCTGAGAGTCCCAGTAAACGACCAAAGGGGTTAGAACTCCAAATTAATCCTCTGCCTGCTGGAATGACGGAGGAATATGTTGGGTCATATAACAGAAGCTCTCCGCCAGGTTCATATGCATCGTTCCACAAGAAGGACCATCTGGAAGTGAGAAAAACTGTAATTTCAAAAATCAAAAATAGAGTTTCTGATCGTGTTCCAGAGTAAGTGCTCCTGTGTAAGGCAAAAGTTGGAGGAGTTCCTTGAGATAGATCTGCTATGACTCAACTGCAATGTTCATCCTATAGATGGAATCGCTGTAGCAGCTAGAAAAGCCCTAAATAAGATAAATACAGAAAGAAACAACGGAGAATGTTACGGAAAAACATACAATGCTTATAATTCGATCTGTTCATTGTCTAAACAGAGAGTCAAACAAGGTACTGGTGGTCCAGAAGGCTTCAAATTGTTTCTGAAAAAACAAGGAACTGAAACCAAAATAATTATGCTTTACATAGGCACTCTGCTTCACGTTCTCTTTCATTTGGCAGGAGTCTTTTTCACACTGAAAGAAAAATTAATTGTGCAAGAATTCTGCAATACAAAAACCAACTCGAAGGCAGCAGTTTTAAAAGATTTGCGCAATCCCTCTATCCTCCTTCACCCCAAGGTTCTTGGGCTGATGGGCAAACTCGTTACAGGACCCTGGATGACTCGCTTTTATGGGAGCATAACGAATAAAACAAACCTTGAAGTGATTTCAGAAATCAAAGATGCAGTCAAAAAATAAGAAAAACATCTGTGATAATCCAGTGGAAATTCTCAAAAGTGAAACTGACATGTTTGGAACTGTAACCACCAGAGAGTATGAAACCTTTTATAAGTCTCTGCCATTCTGTGGATCCCCAGCTCCATCATGAATTTGAAGAAGTAACTGGAAAGGTCTTTTCTGGTGCTGTCACATCCTGGAACACCAGCTGTCAGGACATCTGACTGGTGACTTGTCAACACCTACCTTTGAGATGCTGGAAAGGACCAGATCAGCTCCAGTAGACAACATGTTTAGTAAAAGGATACCGGGAATGACAGATTCCCAGGCCAGATGTGCTCCAAATGCAACATTTGGCTTCATTGATGCAAAGGTTAAGGGTGCTCAATACAGAACCCTGAGTTGGTTAAAGGGAAAAGCATTGGAGGAGCAGGAAAATCTTATCAACTCTTTCAGAAAAAAAAGGGAGGAACTCAGAGAGAAGATTCATCTAAGAAGACAGTATATGAAAAAACAAAAACAACATGAAGCTCTGAAAAGAAAACTAGAGAAGATCCCGAAAGAAATAATAAGAAACAACAGGTATGAGGAAGAGAGAATGACAGAATTTGGCATGACTCAGCAGAAGTCAAGAAAACTAAAAACTGCTGGAAGACAGAAGCAGCCTTCTAAATTCCTATATTGACCAGTACTGGTGCAAAGATGGGGAAACAGTCCTTTAACATGGTAGGAAACTTTAAAATCAGGGGCCTACTACACCATTACATACTGGGAAGAGGGTGAAGAAGAATTAGATGAGGAAGATGGAAAGAATCGAGGTTGACAAGTTATATCCAATTTTGGTTTTGACGATCTTATTTTTCTTTAGCATGTTTTATTATTGTCTGTTTTGAGCTATGCATTGGTTGTTTGTATTGTGTTTTTGTGAGATCACAACATATAATTTGATATGTTAGAGAATGTGCTTATTTTTGCATGAAATTGTTCAGGTTTATTGTAATCTACGGTTGTTTTTGACGTAATCATTTTGAAAAGAAAATGGCTTTCACTTGATCTTCACAAAAAAGTTAAGGTCAAACTGTATTGTATTTGTGAGACTGGAATTTTTATCGTCTATTATCCACCTAAATGCATTCAAAGTTTCATTTTGATATATATTTCAATATAAAAAAGTTATCATCCTTTTAATATTCTTTTAAATGTGTTCTTTAATTTGTAAATAATTTTCAGTTATTTCCAATTCATTTTCTACTGTCTATAATTCTGATTATCTTGATTTATTAACAGCCATAACTCTGCCAATACTTGCCAGATTTCAACAAATGAGATCGAATTTTTTATAATTTAAAGGGCTCTTTTTGTTAAACCTTCAAGAAAGTATCGTGTACAATGACAGATGCAATGGAGATAGTGGCTTTGTTTTATCTGCTGTGGTGAGCTGGTAAAAAGAAGCTATAGAATGTTTACATGCAAGAAATAGTAAAATATTCTAAAGGTAATTTATTTAAAATAAGTTAAATCCATTAAGAATGACATTTATGGTTGCTGCAATGTTATTATTAATCTTGCCATAAATTATTTTAAACCTGTTGCTTAAATTCTACTTTTTTTGTTTAACTAACTTTTTGTTTATTTCCAGGAATATGTATTTGCCTTATATCAACATTTATTTAGTAAATTATTTTTGATTATTCTTTGTATTTATATTTTATATAAACATTTCTTTTTCATATTCATACTTTTTTACTTTCTTAAAAGTTGTTTTCCTTATATTACTATTTATTTATGTATTATCCATTTAATAAATCATTATTTAGTTGTTTTTGTTTTTATCTTTTAGTTTAAATGGAAGAAAAGCTGTCAGGTAGTTTTCAGTCATCATATATTGCCGTTGGATAGTTTCCTCTTTGACAATCACTCAGACGATGACATGGTACTGTACATAATGCTGACAGCTGTGTGAAAGTGTATTATGATCTCCTCAGCTCACACAAACATTCCCCTCATAAAACTTCACCTGTTTCCACCTGGCTACATTTCACATCCCAGCTGACATTACCGTTGGTTTGTGTAGGATGGGAAACTTGCGATCTCTGTGTAATCCACGCTCCCCTCAGAAGAGTCAAATATACCTTTTCAGGCTGCGGCTTGGTGACAACATTGCAGCTTAATGTTGTGAGTGTTAAATCAGAGCTGAGGTTGGGCTTTGATGTCTTTGTTAATAGCCGGGAGAAGATAATACCTCCAGTCACACAAAAGAAGTTGACTTGAATGATTCATATCTCATAAAGGACGACATCTGCTGGGAACATAAGTTATACAAAGCTCCTCTCGGACTCTGCGGTTAGGAAAACTGCTCTGTAAATGCACTCCCAGCTCTTATTAAATTGGTGATAAATGTTTAAATGATGGGTACATTGGTTCTCTGAGGACCAGGGAGGGTTAGTCCTATAGTTAACATGCCCTGCAGGTGAGCACGATGATGTAGCCTGACTCAGGTTACAACAGATGAGCCTGAGACAGGTTGATAGAAACTTTGTTTGATGTTGAAAAGAGAGAAGCCTGTGGGAGAATGGTGCTCAAACCTTGAAAAGATGTTTAAAATAAGCCCCCAACAATGTTGAAGCTACACACCCTAAAAATCAATACAATTTAACCACGAGTAGTGTTTGCATGACAAATTGCATACGACATTGTTCTCAAATTCAGAGCTGAGCTAAGCAAATTAATCCGTTTACTAAACTGAAAGACAAAACATAACTTCTGAAAATGCAGAGGTGGTTTGATTTTTCTTTTTTTACATTACACTAATATCACTTACAGAATGTATCTTAAAACAGTTTTTCTTTTTCTTTTCAGTATCTTGATTATACTGAGAATCAAAACTAAAAAAAGCATAAAAGTGTTGCAAATTTAACTGACATAACTAAGAGCGACACAGTTTTTTTCTAATATTCTGATACTATGAGCCCTTCAAGGAGCTTCTTGGCACCCAAAGACCTCAACCTTTCCCACATGTTAAATGTAGGAATGAGATCTGGAGACAGTCAACCTGTCTTGTTCCCCTTTAGCCGCCCAGTGTTTCCTTGATGTGAAAACGCAGCCTGCTATTTAAAAAAACCTTCCACCATATTCTAATATTTCACTTATTAAATTGCTCCCTGAGGGATGGGTTGAATGAAGAAGACAGATTTCATTGTAATGTATAAAGTCACAATGACAAATGAAAGCGATTATTAAAAAATATTAGAAAATAAGCCATTTTAAATTTTTGGTAAGGTTACATACATTTTCAAAACAGAAATGGCAACTTTAGACTGGAACATAACATCTGAATATAACTATATGTGGACATTTCACTTCTTGCATTACAGAAAGAATACTTTCAAGTGGCTCTTTGTTTCCGTCTGATCCATACACTTAGTAGAATATTCTAAATCGTACACAGAATTTAACTGTAACGACATTTGTACCTTTTCTTTATGTTTTATATTCATTTAAAAATGTATTACTGTAATTAATAAGACAGAACAGTCTTTAACAAACTTTAAGAATCTAAAATACAATAACATTTATTAAAATGTCACAAACTCAACAATTCTTCATAAAAAAGGGGGAAAAAAATATCTTAAAAGAACAAAAGACATAAAAATGAGTGAAAAGTATTATTAATTGTGTATATAATTAATTTTTAAATATATAGAGAGCACTTTAACAACTGTCAACTGAGACAGGTGTTTATGAATTTGATTCTGATTTGGTTTAAGGACAATATAAATTAATCAAATCTAGATTAATAGAAATGATTAAACTACACAGTTGGTGGCTCAGTGCTGCCACCTGCTGGGGATTGTTTCCCTGCCGTTTCTTCTCCTAATGGTCTGGTCTCTCCACTTTGAAGTTCATAGTAAGTATGTCCTGGATGCCAGCCTGCAGCTCATCGTGCTCCTGCACGGCAGAGACCCCTTTAGGAGTCCCGGTCAGAATGAGGTCCCCCTCCTCTAGACTGATGAAGTCGCTGATGTAGCTGATGAGATAAGGGACGGAGAAGATCATCTGCGAGGTGCTGCCGCTCTGCCGCACCTTGCCGTTCACCTTCAGCCAGAGCTGGACGTTCCCCGGGTCAGGGATGCGCTCTTTGGGGATGAAGTCGCTGACAGGACAGGAGGTGTTGAAGCCCTTGGCCATGGTCCAGGGAAGACCTTTGGACTTGCATTCTTCCTGAATGTCCCGGGCTGTCATGTCCAAGCATAAGGCGTAGCCAGCTACATGCTCCATGGCGGTGGACTGCGGGATGGCTGTGCCACCTTTTCCGATCACCACCCCTAACTCCACCTCGTGGTGCAGGTCGTTGCTGTACAGAGGCACCAGGATCGGGGAGCCCTCTCTCAGATATGCACTTGGAGGCTTCAGGAACACGACAGGCTCCGTAGGGATGGCATTTTTCAGCTCTTTTGCGTGGTCCGCGTAGTTTCTTCCGACGCAAATGATCTTTCGTCCCCATTCCCAAAATCGGGCTATATTCCGCGCTGTCATTGTGGGAAAAACTCCAGCTGTTTGTTCAGATGTTTGACTTTAGAAGCAGGTCAGCACTGCATACTTTGACCGACCGACCGGAAACTGAAGCATAGACGTAGAAGAGTTAGAAGCCGCGCTGGGTTGTTTCTATACCTTGAACCGATGCGTCATTAAGTCCGCCATTTTACGAGTGGCAAATTTCCCTTATGAGGATAGCTGGAAAGCAGAAGAGTTTGCGTTAAGAGCGGTGGTAATAAATTAAAACATATATATGCACATGTTGGATTACTATCGGAGACCAGTAACACAAACAATTACATCTAAAAATAAAAAATTGATTATTCTAGATTTTCTCCTTCCATTTCTTCACCAATCTAGTCTGTCATATCTACACCAACCTATTTATTACTCCGTCCATTATTTGTCTGTTCATTAATATTTTATCATCTATAACTGCTCTTAAATGCAGTATTAATTTGAACAACACATTCAAAAACAAAAACTGTACTTGAATTAACACTAGCTTAACATTTTTTTACCCAAATAAAAGTGAAAAGTATGAATATTAGAGTAAAAAGGCTACTGGCACACATTTGATTTAATGTTTAGAAATCATGCAGTTGAAGGATATTATGTGCAAAATAGAACTTGCAAAAAAAAAAAAAAAATGATATACACATAAAATAACAAATTCCCACATAAGAAAATTTTTTCTCAAAACATTTTACATAAAATGTATAAAACCAGTCTTCTTTTGCTCTACTTACTAGTTTTTTACTCAAGTAAAATTACATAAATACTGTACAGTAAAACTAAACGTTAAAGTATTTTTTTCTAAAATGTTACTTTAGTTAACTAGTTACACCCCACCCGTTATTATAATTATTATTATTATTAGTAGTAGTAGTAGTGGTAGTAGTAGCGGAAGTAGCAGTAGTAGTAGTGGTAGTAATAGTAGTGGTAGTAGTAGTAGTGGTAGTAGTGCTAGTGCTAGTAGTAGTAGCAGTGCTAGTAGTAGTGGTAATAGTGGTAGTAGTAGTGGTAGTGGTAGTATAGTAGTAGTAGTAGTGGTGGTAGTAGTAGTAATAGTGGTAGTAGTAGTAGTAGTAGTAGTAGCGGTAGTGCTAGTGCTAGTAATAGTGGTAGTAGTGGTAGTAGTAGTAGTGGTGGTAGTAGTGGTAGTAGTGTTAGTTGTAGTAGTAGTAGTATAGTAGTAGTATTAGTATGTACACCCTGACACTCACAATATGGCGGTATCATACGGAGCTCATGCAACATCTGATATTTATAACCTACGGTAAGCCAGAGGACAAGTTTGCATAACTAAAACTCAAAGTCAAAACTGTAACATTTAGCAGTCGATCTGTTCGTTTAGTTTTTCCTATGTGTTTAATAAAGTGCACTTGTTAATCACGTCCACATCTACTAGATGATAATCATTATTTTAGGAAAACACTATCAAATTTGATTAGTTATGCCTGGAAGGATAGCGCTGAAAAGGAGGCGGAGGCGGAATTGAACCAAAAACCAAACTTTTCTGGTTTGCACAGCCGCGATAAGACTGTAGTTACTGTAATGTTATTCAAGTCACTGGTGGGGAGTGCCTGCACTCTGATAGGAGCAGCTACAGCCTTTAAGTTTGGTATGTTCGTCCTGCTTTATGCCGCAGTTTGCTAACATTTAGCATGCTAGCTTGTTTAGGATCGATGTCACGGAGCTGTTGATGTGTTTATGTTTATGTCTCCTGTGAGGATTCTGGGCTGGTCCGTCTGAATTATTCTAATTACAGTAATTATGACTAAACATATGACAAAAGAAACTTTCAGACTCATGTTAAAATATTAATAGGGGGAATAAATGGCACGTCATAAGTGTATTTTAAAAGAGAAAGGTTAAGCTAACTTTTATTTGATGATGTAAACAGTCAACACGTCGTCCTTTTTTCTCCGTATTTATAACGTAAAATGGATCTTTAATGATCAGATCGTGACCATTTTAAGGTATAAATCAAAGTTAAACAGAAAACATGGTTTTGTCTCTTCCTATGTAGCCTCTGTGGAAGCGAAGTCCCAGGCAGCTGCTCTCCTTCACAGCACTGTGAGGAAATCCCATCTAATCCAACAAACCAACATGAGGGTTGAACTTCTACCGGCGCTCAGTGACAACTACATGTACCTGCTGATCGATGAAGACTCTAAGGAAGCTGCCATTGTTGATCCTGTGGAGCCAATTAAGGTCTATATTAATTATGCTATTTAAAATCTGTAAATACTGTTTAATCAACTAATTGCTTAAAGCCTGTCCAGTTAAGTCAAACAGGTTTAGTCAGATAAATAATTCAGCTGTAAGTTGTGTCACTGCTCTATTTGTATTGAGCATAGCTTGAATTGTTAACAGAGGTGGGAAGTAACTAAGATTTATTATGTTATAGTACTTTAGTACTTTTTTAAGGATCTGTATTTTCTTTAAATGGAGGCTCAGCAGAACTGCTGGTCCATACAAAGCTTACTGGATAGGTAAAGATAAAAGCAGGTAGTAAAGCAAATAAAACAGTTGGACCACAAATGTAAAGTAATGATGCCTCAGTTAAGTTTAATTTAAATAGTCAAAGGAAGTTCTAAATTGTTTTTTTTTTTAACTTAATGAAAAAAAAGACTTAAAAATGCAGAGAATATTATTTTGTTTTGCTTTTAAGTCATTATGAGACAATGCATTTTAGTTTTCTTTTGTTTTTCTCCAAGACAGAGTAGAGACATTTCATTTATTCTCACATAGAGCACTTTTAACACAGTGCACTTGTGGATGCATGTCATTCTTCATGGGTTTTGGGCTATTGTGAGTTTGTTTGGACAATGCTGTTAGAATATTTTTAAGAGTTCAAAATGGGTTTTCAACAAATCTTCCAGAATTTTTTATCCAAATGAAGGGACCAATAGAAAAAATATGTTCTGCTTCTAATTATGTACAAAATATTTATTACTTTTGTTTTCATTTTCCCTATTGTGAACAATTTTCGGACTTTAACTTAATTATTTATCAGTGATTTTCACTTTTAATGGAGTTTTTTCTTGTTAAGGTATTTTTTTTAGTGCTTTATACACCTCTGGTTACCAACAATCTATCAATATGATCTGTTTTATAAAGAATATCTATATAGCCTCCTGAGTCCAAAGAGAAAGTTTGAAATGGCTTCAAAAAACTTGGAAAACCATTAATCAAGATAAAGACAACAGTCTGTCCAGCTGTAGGGTAGAACAAGCATGTTGAGCTATGATCTGGTTTTAATTTAACTTTAGGAGTCACTGAGCATGCACGGTTGTTTGCTTTGTGTCTCAGCGTTTGACCTGCCAGCTTGTCCAATCTCTAACCCCAAGGCAGTCCAGTCAGAACAGACCCTCTGCCTGGATTAACCAGCTGAAGAACATATTATAGTTTCACATTATAACAGATTATTTAGGATGTTTTCTTTATTTGTTTTTTTTTAAGCATACCTTTTGCTAGTTGACAAATGTGAAGATAAAAAATAAAAAATATCCATTCTTAATATGGAAACTGCTGTCCATAAGAGCTGGTTTTCCTGCTTCCTCTTTTTTTTAATGTGTTCTTGCTTAACTTGCTTTATTGATGACTCAGTGACCGTTTTTACACAGCCCTGATCATGAATTATTCAATTGGTATCATTTAACTGTTGAAGATAAACTACTAACTGAGGAATTATTAGTTTAAAGGTGTAGCTCAATTGTTTTGTTTTTCTGTTTTTTTTATCTTTATTTGCTTTTCTACTTTATTTTATTATCTAATTCCTGTAAAGCTCTTTGAATTGTCCACGTACTGCATTGTGCTGTACAAATAAACTTGCTTTGCCTATAGATTTACCCTTCTTTTTTACCTTTTTGTTTAGATGTGTTAGATTAGGGTGACATCTTGGACAGGCAGGATGCTGGCTCCTGAGGAATGAAGGTTTAACCCCCTCAATCTAGGCAGTCTATTAAATTATATCTTTATTATTTTTTGGGTTACAGTTTAGATATTTATCCTCCTAAATTCCATTTTCCTTAAAATTTTCTCCCCTTTAGAAAACTCAACCTGACATTGTTTTCTGACTTGATTCACAGCCTAAATGATTCCTCTTTTATATTGACTCTATTTATTCCTGCTCTACTAACATAGCTTACCTTCAGTTCTTTCCTTTTTTTTTTTTTTTTGCCTTTAACAGGTTGTTGAAGCTGTCCGAAAACACGGCGTTAAACTCACAACCGTTCTGACCACCCATCACCACTGGTATGCTTCCTATTAACACATTTAACCCAGTTGCAAACTCGACTCGCAGAATTCAGGCTTTACCCATCGAGGCATGTTTTATAGCTGCACATAACTCCTCCTCTTCTGTTTTAGGGATCATGCAGGCGGAAATGAGAAGATGGTGAAGCTTATGCCAGGGCTAAAGGTCTATGGAGGAGACGACAGAGTCGATGCCATTACAAAAAAAGTTTCCCACTCCAACAGCTTCAAGGTAAGGCTGTAGCATGGCTCTTTTTTTGTGCTATAACACTTTAGTAAGCTCAATAATTTGCACACATTTCTTTTTTTCGGTTAAGCTTGGATCACTCAACGTGAAATGCCTGTTCACGCCTTGTCACACAACCGGTCACATCTGCTACTACGTGACTAAAGAAAACAGCTCAGAGCCACCTGCTGTTTTCACCGGTTTGCTAATATCCTTACCTTCTTCACGTTCCTCTCTGTGCTCTAAAATGACTTACATGTTGCGTTCGTCTGCATGCAGGTGACACTTTATTTGTGGCTGGCTGTGGTAAATTCTTTGAGGGTACGGCAGAGCAGATGTACAAAGCCTTGATAGAGATTCTGGGACGACTTCCTCCGGAAACGGTAAATAAAGGATTCGTATTTCTTTAAAGTTTTTATATTTTCTCCCATTAGAGCCACATAACTATGGGTATTTTGTTGGGACTTTATGTAGTGAAATCACACAAAAGTATTGGATTACTACAAAAAAAGAAAACAAAGAACTTTTCAACATTTATGGAAAACTGAGAAGTTTTCCATGATATATTTACCATCATTTTCCTGATACCTTCAAGTTTAATCAGCTGATTTGATGCAACTGGTTAAAACAAAAGCCTATCTATGTGTATTTTAAGTGTCATTCTGAATGCAGCTGTTCTCCAAAGGCCCCAGATGTTTGTTTAGGACAAAATAAAATGTGAAGGCCAAGAACACAGACAGGACAGATGAGACCAAAACTACTATTTGGACTATATAATAAAATGCTGTGGGCTGACAAACTGCAGCTTGAGCACATCATCCTCAGAGTGAAGCGTGTTCTTATATCCATAGGGATGGAGTAGGTTGAACGTACAACACAACATGTTGGTGTAGATTTTCAGTCACCTAGGGCTGAAACAATTAATTGGTTAATTAATTATTTAAATAATCACCAACTAGTACAGTAATCGATGAATCGTTAACCGGAGGAGTATAGAGACTGTAAAATACGCCTTTAGCCGACCGAGCAACCCATTTAGAGCAGTAATTTAATCAAAATTGTAAGAAAACTATATAAACATTTAGTATTTAAGATTAAAAAAAAAAAAAAAAACATTTTGTCTGTCAATATTCTCCATCCAGAACTCCTCAGGTGGAAAAGTTTTAAGTTTCACCCGCTTTAATTTCGTAAAAAAAAAAAAATCTTAAAGGAACCTTTGGCTATCTGATTATTAATCAGTTAATCGAAAGAAATAATCAACAGATTAATCAGTTTGCAAATTAATTGTTAGTTGCAGTCCAAAGCTGTATTGTTCTTCCCTCTGATTTTTTGCATTAGACTGTGGAGACTAAGAATATTACTGTCATAAGTATTAATAAGGCAGTTTGTTTAGTCTTGCATCAATCAACTCTACCGGGATGTTTGAATGCCTATTGAGCTTCAGCTTCAACTTCAGTCAACAACAATATTCATACTGTAGACCAAGCTATTAGTGTCTCAATGCTCTTGGATTTTTATTTTTTTTTACTGGATATTAGACTTTCTGTTATTATTTTCAAAATTTCATCAGTTGGTGCTAACTGGCTTAGTCCTATTACTTTATTTATTTATTCATGTAATTTCACAGTCTTCTTTTTTTTCAATACATGAACAAAAAGGAACAGAGGGAAGATAAATCTTGTATTATCTGATCCCTTTTTACCCCATTGCACACATGCAGTGCTGTTATTGTAAATATAAATAAGAGCTGAAAACTGTGCACAACACAAAGATAAAAAATAATAAGCCAGCAGGATGCCATGATTTTAAAAATAAATGCTCATCTGTTGATAGAATATCTATTGAAAATGCTACTTAACAACACTATTCAAAACTATACTGCTAATCAGTACACAACAATAACACTGAATCGTAGCTTGAAACATTGCTGCTGGAACTGTTTATGTCTCTGTAGAGCCAGCATGGTAATAATCACGCCGTCAGCTTGTGGAGTGGAGTTTAGACACAAATTGATACTTAAACAGATATCAGGAGGTTGCTAACTTCTATTTTTTAATTCTTTATTTTTTCCTTTTTAAAGCGTGTTTACTGTGGCCATGAGTATACAGTCAGCAATCTGAAATTTGCACGCCATGTTGAACCGCACAATGAAGTCATTCAGAAGAAGCTCGCATGGGCAAAGGTATTGGACTTTGTCACTGGAGTCTGATGTCTGAAAAGGATCCAGGTCTCTATAAAGATGAACAGCTTCCTGTTTACTGTGTTTGTTTTTCTGCAGGAGAAGTGCAACGATGGAGAGCCAACCATCCCTTCTACTTTGGCTGATGAATTTACATTTAATCCCTTTATGAGAGTAAAGTATGTGCAGCTTGATGGAACAGTTCAGTTAGAGGATTGTAGTTTATTTCAGAGCATAAAATGTGCCTTCCTTACTCTCATTTATTGTGATGTCTGTTTCAGAGAGAAGTCTGTCCAGGACCACGTGAAGCAGACAGATCCAATTGAAACCATGAGAAGCCTCCGAAAAGAAAAAGACAGCTTCCGGGTTCCTAAGGAGTAAAGTCCAGTGGTTTCTTGCTTTTATCTCCTTAAAGGACTGCCACTTTTCCATCAAACTAACAAATAAATACAGCTAGACCTCAAAGCCATTTAGAATAGATCCACTACATTCATCCCTTGCTGAATGTATCCACTGTTAGCACTAAAGATGAGATGCATCAAAACTGTACGTTTTCTTCATGGAGTTCTATTTGGATAGTTTGGGGAATGTTGATGCGACTGTTTTAAAGAATATATGGCTTTAAGAGATGCATTTATTTTAATTTGTAAATGCTTAAAAATGTTAATAATATATTGAAGTTCTAACACTTTCATTCAGTGTGTAATTTTCATAATGAATGGGAGCTCTGTAAGGAAAAATCAATCATTTCTGTGGAAGGATTAATATGAAATAGTAGTTTTGTTTAAAATCAGTTTTAGTGTGATTGTCTCATTGTGTCAGTTCTTCATTTGCTTTAAAATTAGAATTCAACAGAACAGATTAAGTTCTAGTTTCATCATGACTGATGAGTGTGTCACTAAAACATGATACATTTACTGAATGTCTTTAAAGCACAATTTATAAAAGAGCACTGCATGATGTTCTTCAGAATAAGCAATAAAAAACATCTGTTTAAAGAAAGTCAAATGTTATTTGAAATATTAAAATCCTTGTTTTTTTGTGTGAACACTATACCCGTCATACAGTTCGTGTAGTGAAGCACCTTTTTTAGCTTTCTTGCTAAACAAAACAGTAAAATAAGAAAAATAATTTATAAGCTATAACTTATATATATGGATAACATGTACTTTTTCAGTCATTGCTCTCTTTCATTCTGATTTATGTATCTTTTTTAAAAAGTTGACCGATTTTACAGTGTTGCCAACTTTTTGAAAATCAAATAAGGGACAATCAGGCAATGTCTTCCATCCTACCAACATTATGAATTGATTGTTGTCTTATTTGTGTTTGAATTGACTTTGTAAACATTTATATTGAGCCTATCTAATTAAATTAGACACCTGATTTTGTTTCTTATAATAATAATATGGGACAATTGGCAACCCAGAGAGATGCTTTTATTTTTATTTGTAAATGCTTAAAAATGTTAATATATTCAAGTTCTAACTTTTTTTTCTGCCCATTTCATAATAAATGGGAGCTCTGTAAGGAACAATGAATCATTTCTGTGGAAGGATTTCATATGAAAAGTATGTTTTAAATCAGTTTTAGTGTGATTGTCTCATGTCAGTTCTTCATTTGCTTTAAAACTAGAAATTCAACAGAACAGATTAAGTTCTAGTTTTATCATGACTGGTGAGTGTGTAACTAAAACATGACACATTTACCGAATGTCTGTAAAGCACGATTTATTAAAGAGCACTGCATGATGTTCTTTAGAATAAGCAATAAAACATCAGTTGAAAGAAAGTCAACTGTTATTTGAAATATTAAAATCCCTTTTTTGTGTGTGAAGCACCTTTTGTAGCTTTCTTGCCAAACAAAATGGTAAACTTACAAGAAAATCAGTTGAAAACTGTAGCAGATATATATGTGTGTGTGTATATATATATGTGTATATGTACATATATATGTGTGTATATGTATATATATATATATATATATATATATATACATATGTGTGTATAAATATATATATATACATATATATGTATATATGTGTGTATATATATGTGTGTGTGTGTGTGTATGTATGTATATACATCTATATAGATATATATACAAACAAATATTTTACTGTTTTTACAAAACAGTAAAATAAGAAAAATAATTTGAAAGCTGTAACTTATATATATGGATAACATGTACTTTTTTAGTCATTGCTCTCTTTCATTCTGATTTATGTATTTTTTTGAAAAGTTGACTGATTTTACAGTGTTGCCAATTTCTTGAAAATCAAATAAGGGACAATCAGGCAATGTCTTCCGTCCTACCAACCTTATGAATTGATTGTTGTCTTATTTGTGTTTGAATTGACTTCAACTGATTTCAATTAGACACCTAATTTTGTTTCTTATAATAATACAGGACAATTGGCAACCCTATGTATATATATATATGCGTGTGTGTGTAATTTTGTTTCCCGTACAGGTTGAATTTATCTGACTCGATTAAAATGTCTGAGATGACACCTGATTAGGTCAGGATAACTTCCTGGTCTGAATGCAAAACAGCTTCAACAACTTTCTTTGTAATATGATGAGCGTTGATTATATTGTTGTCATTCTAGCTCCAGATAGTGTTAAACTCCAATAGATGTGTAAATCATTATAGCGGCCTTCTGATCTTTTACCGATTAGCTCCATTACTGCAGAAGGGCTGCTGCGGTCTTCCGGAGGCGTCACTTGGAAAGGCGCGTGCATGTGAACGTGGGAGACATGAAGGTGAAGGTCATCTCCATCCTGGAAGACAACTACATGTACCTGGTGATAGAGGAGCAGAGCAAGCAGGCCCTGGCTGTGGACCCCGCTGTCCCCCACCGGGTGAGACCAGAGATTCACACCAACAACTGTCACTGATTCACTAAAGTTTGAATTGATTTTAAATTGAAAGCATTTATATGTAGAAACTCATTCCAATAAGACATAATAAATAATAAAAAAAAAGAAGAAAAAAAATGTAACAAAGAAAAATAAAATAATAGACTGCATTAATTACTCACAAGGGTTAATTGATCATCTGTTTTTTCCACAGCTTCTGGAAATAGTCAAAAGAGAAGGCTTATCTCTCATTGGTGTTCTCACAACACATTATCACTGGTAAGATCAGTGTCAGGGGCCAAACAAACCAAAGGCCACGATTTTCATTTTTAAATATCTAGAATTGCAAAGTCTTATAATGGAAGTTCTTACCAGTTTTATGTGGATATCTGTATCATTTTCTGTGAATTTGACTTGATATTTGTTAGCTTTTGTTTTCACTTTTTTTTAATGTGCTTTGTCCTAAGTCAAGGGACATTTTCCACTCAGGGGTGGAGCTAGATGGGGGAACATGGCCACCCCTACCATTTTTTTTTTCTCTCCAGTAGAATATTCGAAACATTTTAATTTTATATATATTAACAATTACTTGACAACAAAAACACTGTGCTTAATTATACACATCATCAATATATGAACATTAAAAATGATTAGTACAGAATTCATGCTCTTTCAGAACTAGATTTTGTGTTTGTGTCTCTGCAAGTCATCTAAGAGTCTTCAGTGAAATTCTAGATACTGTAAATACCTATTTAAAAAAAAAACTATTAAATGATCAATTTATGTAAATATTAGTGCTTGTAAATATCAATTTAGTGTAGAATGATATTGATAAAAGTAGGTAAGTAATGACGATGGAAAAGATGTTCGCTCCAGAACTCAAACCTCAAAGAATTTTATCCAATATACCTTTTATCTAGACGGATGTTTAAATATATGCATCTATTTGGTAGCAAAGTCTGTAGGAAACTATAGTTTGTCTTTATTTAGAAATATGGACGTTGTGCTTGTTCCTGTTGGAACAGTGTAGATTGATCCTGAGGTTCTGGCGCCTATCCACTATTGGCCTCCTCTCAGTATACATTGGTTATTGCCGGGCCATCCTAATAAAAATGTTCTGGCTCTGCCTCTGTTTCCGCTATAGTGAAGACAAACTTCTGTGTTTTATAAGCTTGATTTGGTTTCATAGATTTAACATAAATATCGAGCGAACACCTGCTAAATCTTGCTGTATTTTTTAAAGCGCTTACTTTTAGAATATTTTACCTTTATTCTGCTCTAACATGTCTAACCTATTTTACCTTAAGAGTTTACCTCATAAACTGAAACATGGAGCCCATTCAGGTCTTAATGCAACGGGTTTGTTTTTATTTTTTGTTTTTTCAGGGATCACGCTCGTGGGAATAAGGCTCTAGTGAAAGAGATCCCTGGCCTCAGGGTTTATGGGGCAGATGATCGAATCGAAGGACTCACAGATAAAGTCATTGACTCTCAGGAACTGAAGGTAAGCAGAGTTTAACTATGAAGCTAATAACTCTCACCAGTTGCGGTTCCAAATTGTTGCGGTATTTTTACCATTTCCAGTTTAACTCCATCAATGTGAAGTGCCTGTTCACTCCTTGCCACACCTCTGGGGATACGTGCTACTACGTCTGGGAGGATGATTGCACAGATGCTCCTGCTGTGTTCACAGGTCTGTGTCTGCAAATCCTGAGAGTTGGAGAAGCAGTTACATACAGGTTTTCCTCTGAGAATTTAACCTTCTAGCTTTTTCATTTTGCTGTACAGGCTTGTTATTTGCAGTTCTCTGTGAAATCTTGTTCTGTTTTTTGGCTAATAGGAGACACACTGTTTATTGGTGGATGTGGAAGGTTTTTTGAGGGTACAGCAGAACAAATGCACCACAACCTAACCAAAGTGCTTGCTTCACTACCTCCAGAAACGGTGAGTGATCTGAAAGAAATAACATATTTACTCTCCATCAACCCTTCTAGCCATTTTTTCCCAACTTCATGTAAATTTTGACTTCAAATTAGGACTAGCACAATGAAGCTACATGATTGTTCAGGCATAGCTGAATTGAGGCAAAGCTAATTCCAGGGCAAAGTTGATTGCATCTTTTCTTTTGCTCTCAATACTCACAAAATCATCGTTTAAGTGCAGTTTGACTAATTGTACTAACGTGTCCTCACAATCTACATAATCCCTCTATATACAATATATATATATATGGGAGGTTTATGCAACTCCATCATCGGTTTCTGTAAGTGCTACTATCCATGGTGAGGTCTGTAGACCCATGCCTGGTGGATTAAACTACTATTTAAGTTTCCTGTAAGGTATACACCAAGAAGCGGCAGATTGAAGTCTTTTTTTTATTTCATTTTTTTAGAAACATCTTCAATTGTTTTTATACTGCATATTTGCACCATATATGTTAATGCTCTCAACTTCCATAGTAGTGTGTTTTTTGTCTTGCCCAAGGGGGTGACAACACTGAAAGCCGAAGCCAGTGCTTAACCCAAAAACTCTCTGGTTGTAGGGCAAATCCCTTCATCCCACGCCCCATTTTAATCACGTAATGGTGGTGGACAACATTTATTTTTTTTCCAGCTTTTTTTATACTTTATACTTTACACTGTCACAAGTACAGAGCAACGATATGAACTCCTGCATTTAACCCATCCCATCCCATTGTCAGAGGCGTGCACAGACATTTTGGGGGGCAGGTGCTCAGGAGGGGGGGGAGGGCACTTTTTAGCGCATGTGTATCACTTAATTATAAAAAAAAATAAACGCATGTTGAATGAAATTTGACTTTTATTTGTAACATTCTCTAAACGTGAGTTTTCAAGGAAAAAAGTCACATCACCAACAGAACAGACTAAAGCATACTTCTTTCATCTGGCTCATCTCCCTGTTTTCCCTCATCCATCTGTTCTCCCTCATCCATCTGTTCTCCCTCATCCTGGTCTTTTTCTGTCTCTGTGTCTTCCCTGAACTCTTCCTCATCTCCTGTCCTGGTAGATGTTGATGGTATAGAGCTTCCCTGCTGTGACTGGCTACAATATATTAATAATAACCATCATAACAATAATAATGATAATAATAATAATAATAATAGCTTTAACAAATATGCCACATTAGTTTAAATAATGGGCTATTAGGGCATCATGACTGGAAGTCTTGTCACGTGGATATGACTTATGGTAGCCTACAAAATAATAGCTATTTTAATACCTGCTGCACAAACCACTTAAAAATAAAATGTGAACAGCTTTTAAGATTTTTCAATACGATTAACCCTCCTTTCTTGGCATTGTGCTGCAATTACTAAATCAATATACAATTAAGACAATAAAGAGACCAAAATGTGTTAATTTATGTTGCCTAACAAAACCTATACAACAGAAAACGTTTGTCTTAACACATAGATTTGTACAGAAGAGGATTAGGGCCACTGAAAAAAAAAAAGTTAACTGATTTTTAAATTTTATTTCAGTTTAACATGGGAAAAAAGTCAGAATTCTGACTTTTTTATTGTCAGAATTCTGAGATTAAAGTTAGAATACTGAGCAAAAAGTCAGAATTCTCAGCAAAAAGTCAGAATTATGAGAAAAAAGTTAGAATTATGAGATTAAAGTCAGCATTCTGACTTTTTTCCCATACTAAACTGAAATAAAATTTAAAAATCAGTTAACTTTTTTTTTTTTTTTTCAGTGGCCCTAATCCGCTTCCGTATTTGCAATTGCAAACTCTACCAAAATTATTTGTAGCCTATGTGGTCGTCCTCACGTTATCTGTCATTGACTTGGGCTACAGTGTAAAACTTTCAGAATCAGAATCAGGTTTATTGTCATTGTTAGTGAAGGAGTTCACAAACTAGGAATTTTTTATGGTACAATCGTGCAACATGAAACATATAATATGGAATAGGTAAATAAAATT